TATTTTTAGAATCCTTGTTGCTTTAAAGTAACCTGGGCCAAGGAGATAGCTTAGAATAAGCGCTTGCCTGGCAAGCACAAGGTCCTGAGTTCAATCCCCGGTGCCACCAAAAATAAATAAATAAAGTAACCTGGTTTGAACCAGAAGTGGTGCACATGCCTGCAAACCCAGAACTTGAGGCTGGAGGCAGGAAGATAGTGAGTTCAAGGCCAGCCTGAACTGCATAGTGAGACCCTGTCTCATAAATAAACACATAAATAGAGTATTCTAGCTTAGTGACCAACTAACCTTGTAAACAGCAAGTCCTCAGCACTTATAAAATTGTTTAATAACCACCAAATTAATTAAGCCAATCCAGGAAAGAATATTGTAATAATATTATAACAAGATTAGAAAAATGCTTTCAATGCCTTGATCATTTATCTACCAGTCGGGGGGCTTTTCTATAGCTCATTTCAGAGGGGGTAGAAATAAGCCAGGTAAGCAGGAGAAAGGATCTAGAAAAATGCCTGCCTCATTCCATCTACCCAGCTTATTCTGATAATATGTGATTCATAGGTATAAACCATCACTATTCTTTCCCCAAGAATTAAGAAAAAAATTAAAATTAAAAAATTCAAAGGCAACTCTCAGCATGTAATAGCCTTGGGGAACAAGGCATTCCAATGAATTGAAGTTCTTTATCTCACACACAAGGAGACAGACACTCCATGGCTCTTCTTGCTGTAAATTCATACAGAGCCAAAAGAGCTAGAGAAAGCACAAGCTCCAAAATGTTAGGTGCCAAACCCTGGAGTAGAACGCAAAGACGACAGAAAAAAAAAAAACCTCTGATGCTCTTTAACCAGTCTCATGTTCATTACAATCTCACTGCCAGAAGCAAAGGGATCATTGGTGCTCTGGACCTCAGGGAGGCAAGACAGGGAACATTAGAGCCTAGGTCTCCTGCCTGGGAGATCTGACTACCACAGTTAGAAGAGGAAATATACCGGGTGGGGCCACTTGGAAGAGTCTTTTAATGAAAACCTACAGAGTATGGAATTTCTTTAGCACAAAAGGCAAAAGCTTTGGTTTCTAAGTGGGAAAAATAACACAAGTAGCAGGTGTGAAATGGACAGAAGGTATCATGAACCTCTACTACTATAAACACATTTTTCTAAACGTGGCTGAGTTTTGTTGTTTCAACATTTTTATTTTTTAAAAAGTAGTTCTGGGAAAAATGGCTATCCACATACAGAAAAAGGACTGAATCCATACCCGTCTCTCTTATCACGTACTCAACTAAAATCGAAATGGATCAAAGAAATAATAAACAAACACAACCTGCTAGAAGATAAAATGGGTAAAACTCTTGAAATCACAGGCACAGGCAAGTACTTCCTGAACAGAACCCTGCTTGTACAGGAAATAGTACCAAGAATCAGCCCTGGGGAATCAAGTGAAATTAAAAAGCTCTGCACAACAAAAGAAACAACCAACAAAGCGAAACAACATACAAAATGGGAAAAATGTTACCAGCTATTCTACAAAGCACTAATATCTACACTATATAAAGAATTCATAACTAGACTCCAAATATATCACCTAATCAAAAAATGAGCAAGTAAAATAAAATAGATATTTCATGGAAGTACAAATAACTAATAAATAAATGAAAAATGTTCAACACTGTTGGTCATCAGAGAAATGAAAATTATTAAAATAACACGGATTTCATCTTACCCCAGAAAGAATGGCTACCATCAAGAAATTAAGTAATAAATACTAGTGAGGATGGAGATGGGAGAGAAAAGGAATACTCTGACATTGTTGGTGGGAATATAAACTAGTACAACCACTAGGGAGATTCCTCAAAAATCTCAAACTAGAAATTCCATCTGACTCGGGTATTCCTCTTCTAGGGGTTAACGTTTTCAAAGAATTAAAGACATCACATTACCCTGATACATGCATACACATGTTTACAGCATAATTCACAAAAGCTAAATCTTAGACACAATCTATATATCCATCAATAGAAGAATGGATACAGATAACGCAGTATTTGTACAAAGTGGAGTACTACTCTGCTATAAATAAAGATAAATTTGAGTCTTTTGTAGGAAAATGGATACACCTCAAGAGTATGTGAAATGAAATAAATCAGGCACACAAGTTTAAATACCATATGATTTCTCTCTCTCTCTCTCTCTCTCTTTTTTTGTGGAACCAGGGATTGAACTCAGGCCATTGTGCTTGCCAGGCAAGTGTTTATTCTACTGAGCTATGTCTCCCGGCCTCTGATTTCTCTTATATGAGAAAGCCAAATTCTAAAGAGCAAAATAAAATCTATCCAATAAAAATTAGGAAGACAAATCTTTCTCAATGGTATGGGAACCCAAGAGATGGAGGGAGGGAGAAAAGGGGATGAAAACAACAACAAAGATGTGTTATGTGTGTAACTCCACACAAGGAATGTAAACATTACATACTGCAAACATGTACTAATACAAATTTTTAAAAGAAAAAAAACAACAATTTTATAAGATACATGAACTGATCATGTGAAAAGGGACAGCTTGATCTTGCAGATGAAAAATGGGCAGGAGAAGCAGGTATGTGTCAGTGTTTGACACTAAAGCTGTCAGAATTTGAAGACCCTGCCTGTCCTTAGCAACAAGTTGTGATAAAAAAAAGGCACTGTCTATCTCCCAGTTACTTATGCCAAAGGTTTTGCTTTTATCAAACTTATTTACTGACATATAAATCTCTATACATTTTTATCTAAACAGTCCAGACTCTCCATTATAACAATAAATCTCATTCAATTATCCCTTTTAGAAGTTGTGGGATCCTGTGGAAATATCTGAAACCAGCAAAAATGCACAACTCCCACAAAAATTACAGTATTCTCAGGCATGGATGCTAAATAAATAAATTCATATAGGAGGCATAAAAAATGAAAGATGCAGAGGACATTTTGCCAATTCTGGGTGATAACTGCTAGGAAAGATTATACCCACAAGAGTAAAAAAGGCAGCCCTGTAAGATGTACAAAATTGAATCAGCCGATAGAATCTATGTGTTATCAAAAAATATGTGACAATTCGAACCACAAATACTAAACAAAGTATGAAGCCAGGGATGGGTCTACCCTAATTCTCATAAAGTTATTTACAATGCCTAAAGTTAGGGACTCACATATAGTACTTGAAAATTAATCTGCTCTTTCTCAGTTCCTCAACATGAGCAGTTTTCTGTTACAGAAATATCAACACTAGTCTTGAGCAACTACAAACCACAATATTTAAAAATAAAAATAAGTTAGAGGGAAAGGTCATTTAAAAAATTTTAAGCCAAGATACAATGTGAAGCCCACTATTTCTAAAGGGATTTGAGAAAAACACAAGAGACAGAATATTACAGGCAATAATTTTTTTTTTTTTAAAGTTAAAAGTTACTTGTCCAGAGAGGACAGTTAAGACATTTCCTGTGGGTAAGCTACATGCAGCTCAGTGAGCAGTTTACAACCAACACCAACCTTCTCAGAATAACAGCCTTCTCTTAAGAGTGGGCTTGGAGGCGCGTTCCTCCTGCCTCTTTATATTTTCTCTTCATTTTGCAAGGCATAGGCTGGGTGGAGATAGTGGTGGGTGTTCTCATCAAGGGTCCCCCAGGGTTGCTCTCGCCTTGGCAGAATGACACAATGACATATGGCGTTTGGGCCATGCCTAGAGGGGCACACCCTGAGTTGTCACACCACACAACTTTGGTGTTCCTAACACAGACCTACAGAATGGATACTCATGTATTTTACCATTTGCAAGCCTTCCTCGCCTAAGTTTTCAAAAAGCAAATTCCAATTTTAAAGAGTCAAGAATAAACCAAAGACTCAAACCATTCCTTAAAGCAAACAGAGCTTCCTCCTAGCTAATTGCCCAAAGAATGCTGCACTGTCTAGCAAATGTTTAAAAAAATCCAATATAGTTCTGCCTCTTGTTTTCCAAATAAGTGTCACTACTGTCAACTACTCCACAAGATAAATAAGCCAATGAAGGCAGTATGTCCTCTCCTCCTTCCCAGTGAAAACATTCTAGGAAGGAGGTGCTTGCTCCTTCCGCTCCTCACACGACGCGAACCACATCTGTGCCTCTGGGAAGAGTGAAGACAAGAAACACATACTATTTTCAGATACTACTTGCTACTTTACAGTCGTAGAGCCATGCCCAATCCACCACTAACTCCTGGGGCTTCCAAACAGAAGGAGTTCAGTTTTTAGTTTTGAACTTTTTTGGTGTGTGGGCTAAGACACACTAGCCAGGGCCTGCTGGCTGGGCAGGAAAAGACAACCGAGGGTTGCAGGCAGAAAAACAACAGAGGAGTCTGCTCTTCCTAAAAATTATGTGCAGTAAAATATTAGACACGTTCAATAATTTAAGCTTGATACAGATTCCAGAAACCTGTAAATGATTCAATTAACCCAACCCACAAGGCTGCGATGACAACACCTGGCTTTTATTATAAATTACACAGCCAACTAAACTGAAGGGAAGGTTCTCCCCCAACACAATACATCAAAAGAGTTAAAATCAACCTTTAGAATCAAAACTGTAATTTACAGGAGGCTTAGGAACAAAAAGACCACTCCCTCCTCCTCTTCGCTATTGTTCCACGGACCGTGTCCGGAGCATTGCACTTTACACCTTTAAGGCTTCCCTGAGGTAAGAGGGCAGAGCCCGGGAGCCAGAGGCCACCCGGAACAGAACAGTAGCACAGTAATTCATCTGTGAGCACTGATCTCCTAAGAGCAAAGAGCTCCCTTGGAAAAGGGAGAGGGGGTTAAAGTTGTGTGTGCAATAGGTACAACCAGGAAGTGCAAAAGGTGGCTACTACAGCGTCGGGTGAGCAGCTGCTCCTGAAGGCAGTGGATGGGGCGCTCCGCCGACCAGACGCTTCGGGGCCCGGCACACACCGCAGCCGCGGAACTCCCGGACGCGGCCTTCGGGCGGAGGCTTGCTTACCTTGGAGCTGCTTGAATCTCCCCTCCAGCTGATTGTAGTTGTACGGCACCTGCCCCGAGTACGCCGGGGACAGCGGCCCGGAGATGCTGGACGTCCTCTGCAATTCCATCATGCCCGGGGTAGCGCTCTGGTGGGCTGCAGACTGGAAACCCCGCTCCGGCACCTCCTGCCCCCATCCAACACGCAGCAGCTCCTGCGCACCTTGGCTCTCCGCCCCGCCGGGAAGCGCTGCACCGCGCGTTCGGGTCGGAAACAGGCGCTGGGCGACTTGATAGACGCTGGCTGTAGAGTCCACCACGCTAGCCTGGCGAGGAGTTAGCGCTCAGGCATCTAATTCCTTGTGCTCCCCCTTCTTTCGGTGGCTCCTGCTTCGAAGCTTGAAATACATTACCAAGGAGCGAGAGGAGGAGGGGGCACAAGTCGTGCTTCAAAACGTTTAAATACGGCCAATCCCGAGCCTGCCCGGCCGCCGCCGAGCGCAGGAGCTCGCCGGAGCAGCGCGCACACCTCCGCCCGCAGCCGCCGGTTTGTAATTTAATCCAGAGCCGCTCTCCGAGCGCAGGCGGTGACGTCACCTGATTAGCATAACAGCGCCGCGGAGGCAAGGCAAGGCAGGCCGTACCACGCGGAGGGCGCGGGGGAGGCCATGGGCCCGCGCCCCGCTGCGCGCTCCAGCCGCCCCGGCCGGGGTGCCGCGCGCCGGGCCGCCGTGCTGCCTTCCCAAACAAAGCTGCTGGAATTACAATCTTTGGTTGAGGGCCTCATGTAACGGAAAAGGCTCCGATTACTATCGCTTGAACAGGAGCGCACAGCCGCGGAGGGCGGCGGGAGCCGCGCACCTGGGCGCCGCCCCGGGGAGGCGCACCCGCGTCGGTCGCGGGCTCGGCGGAGGAGCGCCCACCCACAGGAGCGCCCTCGCGGCCGCCCGGCCGCCCCCGGGGAGGCTACGCCCGAGAGGGTCCGAGCCGGAGGTGCGCGGGTCTACGCCGCCCGGAGCCCGAGCGGACTTCGGTCCCGCGGGGCGAGAGCGCGCCGAGTGCCCGCGGGCCTGCCGATTCGCGGCGGGGCCTCGGACTTCGGGTTTCCACCATTTTAGAGCCATCTAGTCCTCCTCCCATCCATCTGACCCAAAACAGAGAACAGCAGGATCACAGTGTGCCCTTAGGAAGCGAGAAAGATTCTAGTTCTGTCCCTTCCTTTTTCTTCACCAAAGCTGACAGAAAACAAACTACAAATTTCACGCGTCCAGTTTGAAGCCCTGAAGCTGTATTCACCTAGGAAGGGAATTTTAATCCTGAAGGGTTCCAATCTTGGGCCTCTACCCCAGGTTCCCTGGGCACTTGTAATGCAGAGAGCTGCATTTTGCCTGGGAGTAGAGCTGAGCTAAGGTGTAACTAACTGGTTGGCTCTGAATACTCCCACCACTCCTTCTATTAAGTGGGTTCTTAATACATCCACAGGGTCAATCTCTGGCTTTTAGGACAGGCTGAGCCAGTTCTCATCGTCCAAAATGGACATGTTTAGAATCTTGTTACCTCTGGAAATGCACAATGCTGATGGGACACTAGGCATCAGGAAGGTGAAAAGCCTATTCTTAGAAGCAGCATTTGACTAGGATTCGCAAGAGCTGTTTTTCTTCTTCGCCTTCTCCCCCACCCATTCTTTCCTCCCCCACCTCCTCGACATAGGGTCTTCCTATGTAGCCCAGGATGGCCTCAAACTTGCTGTTATGCTGCTGTTTCAGCCTTCCCAGTGCTGGTATCAAGGCCTGTGCCATCACATCTGGCTTTCAAGGCCTAAATTTCTAATCCTAAATCTCCTCATTATTCCATGACCTCAGAAGAACCACTGGATTCTTTCTAAACCTTAGCTGAGATTGAATAATAAATAATGTCTACCTGTACAATATGTGAAAATGCTTTAAAAGTTTCTTTCAAAATACGAGTTTTTCCAAGGCACACCTTTTCTCATACACCCCCCACCAATCATATCAAGACTATAAAGATATATAGGATGGGGAACGGTCTCACTGGAAATCTTATTTAACAGGCCGTGCCTCACTATCAAATATACTGGTGAAGTGATCAGTCTTACATGTCTAGCTATGGCATGAAAAATGAGATTACAAAGTACTTTGCCAATTTATAACATTTACTTTTAATCTTTAAACCATTTAATGAATACATTGTCACTACTCAGTATCTTCCCTTCAGTCTCCTCTGGTATGGGGAAGTGCATGAAATAAGATTAACTGGATTATATACAGTGTGAGAGTAAAGGCTGGGATTAGCACAGACACTCGATTCTAAAAAGCTGAAGTTGCACAAACGAGGCAGAGTGAATACATGTAAGTATTAGAAAGAAAGGTTTTAAGGCTCCAAAAAGGTGTGATAACCCCACAGGGAAGGAGGTGATAAAATGGGGCCAGGGATGAAGGGCTCACATAGCCACCTTCAACTGAGCAGTAAGGCGGTGATGACAGAAGGCCAGAGCATTCAATGCTTTATTTCTACAGTGTTTACTGGATTGCACTCATAGCATTTAATATGACCCTGCTGCAGGCAACTCACACCACCTCACAGGACTGTCCTGGGCCATCCAATGCAGAATCATGCATGGACCACTGGTGTGCCGAAGCTGCCCAGCATCTAGACATACGGTCCCACTGTGAACATGTTAATGTATTCACAGTACACTACTGAGTGTTTTGGAGGAACTGAAGATGACTACGAGTTTTGTTAGCCAAAGGTGATGGGAGAAATTACATGCCAACAGTCCAATAGCAAAAGAATACCAGATTTTAGAGGACAAGAAGGTCAATGGCCCATTCCTCTTTTTTTTTTTTTTTCCTGCATTTAGGACAGGGTCTACAGGGTCTCACTACACAGATTGGACTCGTAGTGATTCTCCTGTTTTCAGCCTCCCAAGCACTGAAAGGCAAGCAGAAAGAACTTCAGGAGACTGGCCTTTTGGCCTGGTCTTAAAACACAGGTAGGCTGGGGAAAGAGAAAAGCCTCAGCCTGACTACCTGAAGAGGATCAGCAAGTGCTTCAGTTTGGCTGTAGCACAAAGAATTGCCAGGATGGGAGGAATGTAACAAGATGCAGATTAGCACTAAGCATGGGCTGGAAACTGCTGGAGACTTGAGCTAGAGGCAGCCAGGGTCTGACCGGGCTAGCCTCTAGGGCTGATTAATCCAGTAGAAGAAAAGAGAACCTGAAGGCAGCAAGGGCAACTGGGTAGTTATTGCACTTGTAAATGGCCAAGGAACCAGTCAGGGTGTGGTACAATAAAATGAAGAGGAATGAAGGGCCAGCCTGATAGCTCAGCGGAATAAAGTGCCTGCTTAGGCAGAGCACAGTGGCAGGGTTTGATAACCAGCATGCCATGCCAGCCCCACCCTCAGGGCATGCTGAGACAGTTATGGAAACTGGGTATGGTGGCACATACCTGTAATCCCAGTGCTTGGGAGGCTGAAAACAGGAGAATCACTACGAGTCCAATCTGTGTAGTGAGACCCTGTAGACCCTGTCCTAAATGCAGGAAATAAAAAAGAGGAATGGGATGAGGATGTAAGATTTCATCCATAGGGTTTTGACAGCCAACTGTACATGGGAAGTTCAAAGGAGAGGCTCAAAAAACTCAGCTTTAGAGTTGACTGGGGGGATGGGGAGAGGCAGGAAAGAATTCAATATTTCATTTTAGAGAGGCTGAACCTGAGTCCCCTGCAACAACACAAGGTGACACATCCAGAGCACCACAGACAGGGAACTAGGGCTCAAAGGACAGGTGTAGAGAGGAGGGTATTCAGAGAGTAGTGGGGTTAAACCTAGAAAGAGCATAACAATGCAGGAGGCTGAGCAGAGACCTGGAAAAGATGTAGGTTTAGGAGGAAGATGAACCAGGAAAGACCCCAATGGAGTTACAGAATAGGAACTCAAAAGAGAAGACAGGTAACTCAAATAATGAGGGTACGTGGCATCACATACTGCAAAAAAGACAAGAAAGTAATCAGAGAAAGAGCCAGCCAGGTGCAGATCAGGTCAAGTGGTTAATAACAGCAAAAGCCAGGTTATGGGAAGACAGACACTAAGGATAAAGGGGGGAAAGAGGTGAAGAGTGCTAGTGAGTGGAGCGCACAGGACGAATGGGAGGGGTTGCGGGGGCAACAGGGCTGGAGGAAAGGAACATGCCCTCTGTGCTCAGATTTCAACCCTGAGTTGGTAGACGGAGAGAAAGGCCCTGGGAAAGTGAGTCAAGGAACACGTAGCTTCAGAAGTAGGGAACAACAAAGGCATGCGAAGAGACTGAAGGAGCCAACTCTTTTTTTCTTTTCTTTTTTAATTGGTACATTTTAGATATAGTGTTTACACTCATCATAGGGAATCTATACCTGTACATGACATATTTTGCTGCTGTTTTCCATTTCTCTCCCCTCCCCCTTCAACCCTTTCTCCCTACAAAAGCTTTGTTTCCATTTTTTCCTTCTATTATTTTTGTCCCTTCTTTCCTTTTTCCCTCCCCCCTCCTTTGTTCTTCTCATCTGAACATTTTCTTCCCATTTCCAGTATCTATTGTACATTTTAGTTCTTATTTATACTTTCAGTTTCTCACACAAGAGAAACAATGTTGTATTTTTTTATATAAATTTATTTATTTATTTATTTGTGTGTGTGTGTGTGTGTGTGTGTGGCCAGCTCAGACCACCAGGGGGCGGGGCTGGCTGACATGTGGTGCTGGGGGATTGAACCACGGTCCCTGTGCTTTGCTTAACTTAGCTTGTTCTAAGTAGGTGCTTTAGACCACTGAGCCATCTCACCAGCCCCAATGTTGTATTTTAACATATGTGTCCAACTTATTTCACTTAAAGAGTATGGTCTTGGGCTGAGGAGACAGCTCAGTGGTCTAAGTGCCTGCCTGGAAGGCACAAGGACTAGGATTTGATCCCCTGTACAGCATACCCTGCCAGCCCCGAAACTGGGCATGATGGGGCATGCCTGTAATCAGAGCTCTGGGGAGGATGAGACAGGAGGATCAGTGAGTCCAAGCTGTGTAGCGAGACCCTGTACCAAATAAATAAGTAAGTAAATAAATAAATACATGATTTAAAAAAAAAATCCAGCTTCTCTTCTGGATGGTTAACAACTTAAGTATGCAGACCAAAAATTAGAGAAAAAGAAGGGCTACAAGGTTAGCCAATATTTTGGCCCTAGTCCTTCAAGGTCAGTGAGGACTCAGGACATAAGAGAACCTGTACTGTAACATCCTGTAACTCAGCGGTGTCCCAAATTTTCTATTCAAGGAGATTATGGGGCCACAGAGGAAAGTGATCGACGATGTATAATGCCTAAGGAGTCACCTAGAGAGAAAAACATTCTCTCAGGCTTTCACAGAGAGCAAATTGGTCAAGCAATGGCTGTGACTCATCCACATGGCTGACACTGTCAAAAGATCTACAAACTGCTGTACATGGTTTCAGGGTAAATCCTGAGGGGATCTG